CCATATTCCCCAGCCGTCCAGCTCACGAACACAATACTTCTCCTTGGTTTGAATCCATCTGTGACGAGAAACCAAATTAACATTAACTGAGCTGCTCCATAATGTTAAGGAGGATCTGACATGAAGGGTAAATAACAATCTAGCACTAGAACACTTAAAGAGAGCTGCTGAAGCTTACCGTTCTTCACCATGTCTGAAATGGAACGTGCCAGCTCAACAAGGACACTGGTGCCAACGGTGGACGCAGCAAAACCTGGACCCCATGCGTCTCTCTGGGCACCAATAACCACATATCGGTCTACATGTTAAAGAGAACGAGATGGTTAGTAGACAATCATCACTTATTTGTCGTCTATATGAAATAAACTTCTGATTGTACCTGGATCCACAAAGCCTTTTATGATCCCAAAGACATTGCTTATCTTCTTCTCTGTAAGAACGTTGCCGACATCCACCTTAATTATATCTCCTTCCCCTCCCAGTTTGCCGAACAACCCCCATCCATTGGGCACGTTATCACCCCCCAGCTCTCTGTGGAATGTACACGATATACATTAATGATGCAAGCAAAGGAATATCTGGTATAGATAAAAGCCCTGAACGCATTACTATAATTTCAGGTATAATGTTTCAGGTGGTCCAAAGCATGTTTGAGCCTTACTTCAAAATGCCATCAGCCATGCTGGTTGGGATGGTTTGAGCCAAGATTTTTGGAAGGCCTGAAGACTGGACAGGTGGAAACTGGGTGTGGTTGAAGGAGGGGAAGCCTGGGGTGTAGGGATCACCTGAACCCATGTGGACCTGTGAGACATTCAGGGAAGACGGATGGATGGAAAGACAAAAGTTTAAACAAGTTTGTCCAGCAATCATTGCGCTTATGAAATCCTCGAGTTTTACTATCAAGCTTCTGAAATTAAAATTAGAAGAAAAATACATGAAAATAGACTACTGACATTTTGCTTAAAACATTACAGGCTCAGCTTAGCTGCTTAGAAGATTTATTTACTTTAAAGCTGACAGAAATACAGATACATTTCACATTCATCAGAGCATGTGTTGCTGTATCTGCTTCCTCTTTCAATTAACTTTACAATGTGTGCCAAACATATTTGCTACCTTATTAGTGCAATACTAACACTACTTATAGAAAAACTAGTCACTGTTGAATGCGGAAACAGTTCATCAATATTAGAAATTATGAGATACATTTAATGTACAGTAGAAATGCTGAACGTGATTGAAGTGTGAAGGAAACTGATTGTTTTGTGTATGTGTGTCCACCACCACTAATCGGCTCATCTCAATCAGTGTTGACCGTGTTTTCCAACTTAAACCTGGTGATGGTAACAGCTGTTTCTAATACATTTTTGTCAGTGTGCCAAGCTTGTTACTGCTATCAGCAAACAAATCGCATTAGAGCACCATAAGACTCTGATGAAGCAATGATGTCGGGGCAGCACAATACTTAAGCGCTCACATTGGGTGCCCTCCAGAAATGTTTTGTCAACATTTTATTTTAAGTCTACTGAGCAGTTGATCAAGTTTGTGTTAGGCATCTTCTGGAGGAATTTAAATTATCTTTCTTTGATAACCCTTCTTAGAAAAGAAACATATGAATGCCTCTTCTCATTGAAAAAGATTGGAAGAAAAAAACGCTAGGTGGACAAGGGGCATTATATAAGCAGTTTCATCCTCCAGCATTATACACCTGTTCACACTCACATGTCCAAACAGAGGGGTGTTCCCTTCCTTTAAGTAACTTGAGGGGTCTGGGTAGATCAACACAGCAGAGGCATTCATCTTGGCAGCATTGGCCACCTGTGTACACAAAGGAGTTAAGGTAAAGAAGGGGACATGAACAAAAAATCTGTCCGACTGCATGTCTTGATAAAAATCACCCACCTTTTCAGCCAAGCTGATCCTACCGGCCCTGATCAGCATGACCCTGCCGTTCATGTTGATGCTTTTGTCCTGCAGTATTTTGAAGTCATTTTCCTGCCCGTAATACGCATACAATACGACACCCTAGGCAAGAAATGTATAACATTAAGATCACTTAATTTATTTGTATTACATATTTTAAATGTGCTGTTCTTAATTAGGCTTTTTAGATAACGTACTGTTGCTGTTCCAGTGGCACTGTAGGATAGAAATCCTTCCAGTTTCTGAGCTATCCCGTTCTTGAAAACAAAACTATTGAAGCCAGAAGCCGGACGGTCCTGAACCTTCACAAAGTGCTCATCAGTCCAGGTTTTCATGCCGTACTCATGAAACTTGGTCAGCACCTTGTTTCCCAAAACCTCGTCACCTTGAGAGCCAGCCCGGTGGGAGGTACTGGAAAACTCACTGGAATAGCAGGAAATCAAAATCAGATAAATTGAGAAGAAAGGCACAAATAAGAAAACAGTGAATGACTTTCTGAAAATGAAACGCAGAGCTGACACTAAGTGATAGGACACTCTACAGGTAGTCGGAGATAGGGGTGGGACAAAATATCAATACAGCCTCTTGTGACACAATTATCGACTCGCTGATGCCGAATATCCAAATTTTAATTAGATAAAAAATATATGACACTCTAAACAGATTTCCCTTTCAATTTGACTCGCTGTGTCACTCTTCGTGACTACTCAGGGTGGTGCTTATAGCATTTGCGAGTGTAACATGAACAGAAGTTAACTGGACAAAGAAGAAGTCGACAGCAGCATCATGTCAGACAGCATTAAAAGGAAGTGAATCTGAAACCTAATTGCAGTGAATAAATTCTTGAATCCTCCACTTCCTCCTTTTAAGGGACTTAAAAGTGTATTCTTCAGTTAGTAAGATGTATCATTAAATGGTTGTCTTGGAAAGTATCAATTAATCACAAAATTGCTGCATCATCTCGTATCACACCACACTGTATCGTTTCCCCCCCAGTTTGAGAAGTCAATATATTAACCTGAAAACAGGCTCAAATTTGGCTGGGGAAACTTTCTGTGCAAGGAGCTTTTTCACATTGTCCCAGTCCATGAGGGGGGCCGCACCTGTCTCAGGGACAACATCTTTGTCAAAAGAGAGGACAGAGGCTGCACAGATGGGGGGCACATCCTTCTTCCGATGAACCAAGAAGCCAGTCAAGTACCCTGGAAGTATCAGTGATATCAAATGAGGAACAATCAGAGAAAGACAAGAAAGATTGCATTGAGTCAGCACTATAATATGCCATAACTGCACAATTTGAATCTGTTGTACAAGCCGAGAAACAAAACCTAACTTTTAGATGTAAAAGCTAGCTTTAGCCTCTCTATGTTGCTCAAAGGGGAGACACAATAATACCAGAGCTATTATTTCAGATGATAAAAGCAGATTTCTTTCTAAAACTCAGAACATAACCCTCATATTTCAGATTTATCCTGATTGAATTGTGAACATTCAGGTACGTCTCCATCAGCATGTTTGGGAAAGACAAATCAATAAATAATAAAGAAGTGGTGGCCCTTAGATTGATCCTTGAGGAACTCCACACATTATTATAAGTTATGAACACTCAAATTATCTTAGCTTATCCATCAACATCTCCCTCTTACCGATGATGAAAATGAGGAGGGTGCCAGCTGCCATAAAGCAGAGGTTCTTGGGGGTGCGTCTGAGTTTATTAGCATCGAAGGGTTTGCGGTTGGAGTTGTGATTGAGGTGTTCTCCCACACCATTTCCCCCGACCTCCTCATCCATATCCGACGACAGCTTCATCTCCACCTGGCTGTTATCACCTTCCATGTTCTGGGTCAAGTTGAAACGGGTGTAGGAGTGCGGCTCCCCGTTAAACTGTAATGACAGCACAGGGAAAATAATTTCTTTTATTGAGTCAAGATTTTTCAAGGGGTTTTTGTAAAGTTCTGAAGTAAATCAAATGTAATCCTTAAATAAAAGCAATGTAGTTTTTGTACCACTCAAAGCATAACTGAAAGTTAATATAGGTTTTTAAATTTTATTCATACTTATTTGATAAGTGATAAAAAGGTCACCGTCACGGTTGCTTTGAAGTAGAAAACCATATACAGAATGCTTTGTTCTTGGAGCTTTAGTTTACCCAGAGACTTCGCTTGCCACCTAGGAAATATCCTCAGAACTTGTGGATGTCACCCACAGTAAGAAAGCTTGGCATCAGCTTTTTAACAGTTGGGATTGCATGTTTTATTGTAGTAAATTAATCCTGCAGAAAGTGTGGTTTATGTGAGGTCTAATATTGGGTAAGAACCCGCTAAATTTACAGAAAGTGAGCTTAGTTTCTCTTCCATTATCAACAATCCTTCTTGATCACTCATATTCTTTAAACAAATTATAATGTAACCTTCTCCTTTGTGAGTTTAGTTTGCTCAAGTGATTACAAGATTTTTAACATGACAAGCTATCTAGAAAAACACAACCTCATCATGTGCACATATGACTTAAATCTTTTAATTTCAATTAACCTTTAATTAATCATCTTTAAATTAATATGAATTTAGCATTTTAAAAATAAACTTAAAAATCTTTTATGTCTTTTAAAAAGATCATAACAGAATTAACTTACATTAGTTGATTCCCAAAAGTACACAGAAGGATGTTGAACGATGACTAAAAATCAACACTAAGCAGTAGACCTACCAAGAGGATCTGTCAAAAAGAAAATGACGAAGTACTTCCTGTTTTGACTTTCGGAATTGTCTTGTGGGGGAGGGATGAAGTAAAACAACAGATATGAAGTTTTAATAAAATTTCATTATCCTTTGAAAAATAAGTAGTTCAAAATTGTTTAAATTAAGTGGAAGTCAGTCTCCTTAAACTTTCTGGTATAGATGGCAGAAAGTAATGGCAATAAGCTAATTCTGTTCACACCTCTACATCAGTGGATCTCATTTATTGCAGGGATTATTTTGGATTATTTTATTATTATTAGCTAGATTGTATTTACTGAGTTGAGTTACGGTAATTTAACAGCAATCATTAGCTCTTAGATTAGTATTAGTGGGATAAATTGATCATTTAAATCATGAAGACTTGATATATACCGTACTTTATTTCTTGTTGTTGTGCACACTTCCCCCAAGATTAATTAAGTATTTGATTCTGATAAATGAAATGTCCGTAGCTTGCTCCTAATGAGTTATTGCTAATCATGTATTAAAGATATAATATCAATAACAAGTATAAGTCCCGATGCTGGTTATAGACCTTTTATTAAGTAAATGTAACTGGTGTAGATGTTGCCTAATGCAGTGATAAGAAAATAAACATGGGCAAATCTTTCTAAAGATGAACTCAGAGCACTAAAATTACAAAGTAATAAGTATTTGTTACACAAGATTCAAATAAGAAAATCATTCATTATGTTCAAATAATACTCATTTCTGAAACACATTAAGTCTTACTGTAAGACAAGGCTTGTTATTACAGGATTTAAGGCTGTATTACAAGGCAGACAAAACACTCTCATTTTGTGTCATTTTGGTGCCCCCTGTGGAGAAAGTGGCACATCTCATCTCCTTGCCAATTTGTTTCCAACAAAATCAAAATACTTTTTCCATCTGTGACTAAAAGAGTTCAAGATGAATCTTTAACTTCACCCTGTAAACGTTTTCCCATTCAGCTCACTTAAAAGAAACAGACCATCTTATATCTTACAATCATGAGACGACTCACTGTTTGTGATGTGATTGTTTATTGCAGCAACACAAATGTAAAGTTAAGCAGCTTGTATACAGTTGGAGAAAATGAAAAAGCAGTTACATTAATTTCTTAAACACATTGTTTGTTCATCTGGTGAGAATTTTGAAACACTAACTTTTTCAAACCAATTCCTCCACATCCAGAATCATACAAAAGAAAGATAATGTGTATGCTACATTCTCAGCGAGATGCCAGTAAATTAAATCTAATTCTTCTAACACGTTTTATTGAAGCCCTGCAGATCTGCTCAATCACTCAAACCATGCATGTCTGAATGTTTAATAGATGTTTGCAGAGAGGCTATCAATGTAAAACATTTCATCTCCCGTTTTTCTACTGGAGGCATGACTGGAAACACAGAATGACCAGAGTCGGCAAATTAGCTCTAGGACCATTCACTGTGTAATTTTTTTTTACATCCAACTTAGAATTAATCTTTTCTTTTTACAATTATCGTGTACCTGGTAACGTTTACTGACAATATTGTAGCATTACAGGCTTTTAAACCAGTAACTTATGATTCTAGAAGAAAGCAGGGCGAAGGGAGAAAGAGAACAGAGAAATGACAAAACAAGCCAAATATACATCGTCCCAAACATAAAGTATTGTTCTGTATGTAGCACTCAGCTCTATACTGCAGTCATAACACAAAAAGGCACAAGGAAAATCTTTAAACAAGAAAACATCCCAAAAGAAAGCAGAATTTACGCTCCCACTGACTACATCATTATAAGCAAACCCATTTATTTTGCAGATCGGTGATCTTTAACAGGAAATACTGGACCACACGGCTGTAACCACGGTGGTCGCAAATATGTTTGTAACATATCTAGTATTTTAAGCAACGCCTCCTGTATCAGTCTCGTGTGAAGTGGATAAAAGAAATATCACATTAGAAGCTTTTGATTAAAATGTGACCAACAGAGGAATTGAAAGACACGCAGCTTCTCTGTGTTACTAAGCAGACGGATGGGAAATGCTTTGATAAGAGCTCATGTAAAAACTTGGCACCATCTGAAGAAGCTACAGCGAAGAAAACATCAGAGAAGGCTTCTGAAGATGCAGACAACACGAGCCGTGTGTAGCAATGTATCCTATATACAGACATTATGGGAAACACTGTCCCCGATAATAAAAAACATCCACCCCTACAGTGAAATATGGAGGGCACTGCCTCCGATACAGACACACACTGGTAGAATAAAAACTACCTTCTTCTTCTTCTTGCACATTATGGAAGACACTGCTCCCGATAATGATGGGACGAGACGTGTACATGCACCGAGGACCTGTACTGACACAGAGAGGGGGGGCCAATCCAGTGTCAGTAAGAAGGAACAGAAATCACCTCAGAGTTGTGCAGTTTGAAGAGAAGTTCCTGAAGGCTGTGTGTTCAGTACGGCCGTCGGTCCACATGTACACTTCTGTTAGCAGATGCTGCTTTTGTCATTTCGACAGTATAACTGTCATAATTATGGAAGGCACTGCTCCCGATAATTATACATCGTTTTTTTTTTTATAAAAGGCGATAAAAAAACTATTTATAGTGAACCCTGCCACTGATAAATAAATAACACAATAAATAGACGTACGGTTTCAGTTTCAGTGCCATATGGTTGGAGACCTTCTCTCTTGATTTTGTAAAAAGGCCTACAGAGGTTTGCTCTTAATGTCAGGAGGTGGACCATTCAGATTAATCTCTATTTCAGGTTATTCGTTTCATTACATGTAACAGCTGTTGATTGTCCAAAACGTTGCTCGAACAAATTCTTGGCCTGTCCTCTCCTTTAACGTCCTTTAACGAGTAGCAGACTTCAGCACAGTATGACATTTTTTAGCTACCAACACAAACGGGCTCAGGTTTGAACGTGAGGCTCCAGCAGCAGCAGCGGAGAAACCAGCAGTTTTGATCTGTGAGAGCTGTGGTAGACATGATCAATGGTTTTGATTCTTATAACCTACCAGCATGTTGAGATTTGTTCTTCTCTGAGCTGGCAAACACAGCCTTTCCTGAGATCACGGTCTGATGATACTGTGCTGTAAAAACAGATCACTTTCACTACATTCAACTCGCTCTGTTTGAGTTGCACCGCCACCTTTTGAATGGCTGTTTCAGGTAGTTGTTACTAGCACCAACGTATTTAAAATGCCACGTTTTGAAAAATGATATTACATGAAATGAAGTTAGAAGAATGATAGAATTTTTTCTTTCTAAAGAAGGTAAAACAGAGGATGACCTACTATTATTGATATTGGTTCAGCGGGGAAAATGAGTATAATCTATTCTAAATGTTTGGCATTGTGGAGTAGGCAGCTGAGATGATCAAATAGAAATATTGGCTGTGATGATTCTAACATTTAAAAAAGGTTCCACCTTTAAATTTACTCAATAACCTTAAGTTCAATTTGAAATATGTGCCGCTGTGACAGTCGTTGAATCATCACAGCCGATTGGTTTTCACACTGTCAGTTTTGAAGAGAGGACCAAACCATAGAGAAGGAAGGAGAGGGAGGAAACTTTTTCTTCTTTTTTTTTTTAGATTTCGTTATCCAAAGACCAAATGTTTCCTGCTAGTGAGTCGGCGCAGCCCTGAATGGTCCAGGTGGCCAGGGCGAACTGGTTGCGGAAAGCATCGATATCTGCATCAGGGTTGTCGGCACGGAGGGCGTCGAGGTGGTTGATCAGACCCTTGAGAGTGTGAGCACCCGAACCCAGCAGGATGTGGCGGAAAGGATTGTCACTGGGAGACACATAGGGGGACAGGAAGCTCCTCTCCACCTTCAGAAACAAGAGAAGATGAGATGAAGGAAGATTTCTCAAAAGGTCACTGATATATGTCCTGCTTTGATGATTACGGTTGAACATCTGTGTCAGCCGATATCGGCCATGTTTACAGACAATAATGTGGCGCCACCTGTCAATAGCCAATTTAAATCTGTTGTGTCAGGTCAATTAAATGCTGGCAAGCTGGTAAACCTAACTGCTGATTCAGAGGTGAGGTTTTTTATTTGGAAGAAGGAGCCACCTGTTGGACAAACTCTGATTTGTTTTTATGATCAAATTTAAAAGAAAATGGAGGCAGTCTTATATTTAGATACATCAAATCTCATTGGCTCATCTGAAAAACACAAAAAGGGCATTTTTTTAAAAACATTCTGTCAATGTTTATGTTTTTTTTAAGTACAGCTTCAGTAATTTAACAGGCCCCTTTAAGGACCCTGGTTTCTTATCTAATTATAAACCTTCTCTGTACTGCTTTATATGCCAAACTAAAACAAATCTTAAAAGTCAGATCTGACTTTTTTGTTTAAAATTCAATCTTGTTGTGTTTCTGTAGACTGGACTGACAGCACAGAACCTTACACGCTACAGTATAGTCTCAGCAGTGCAAGGAAGTTAATGACACCACCTTTTTCCACATTCACGTCAAACCATTTGTTTTAAAGCAGGAAGAAAAATATAATATGGACGCGTGCTTGTTAAAAAGCCCAAATGTTCCAAAGTAAGACACTACTATATTCCTTTTGCATCTGAAAAGGGTCTCAGTCATTTCAACTGTTTGGATACTTTCAAAAAGATAACGGATGAAGTAGTCTTACAGCCATGATGCGATCGTTAATGATGCGGCACATCTCGATGTCATCAAGGTTGCTGTTCTGGATGTCTGTCATCAGGTCATGAGAGGCGCGGCCGTACGAGCCGAGGCCGAGCTCAACCACTGCACCGTCAGGGCCTCGGGCAGCTTCTGGGGCTGCTTCTGAAAACACACAAACACAGCAGTGATTTAGTGCTCTGAATAACAAGCGGAACGGACGTACATCTTCAGGGAACATTTAGGTTCTTAATTAAAAACAGTTAGATAAAATACTGTGAATTTAAATGACGCATTGGCTTCTGGAAGAGTGTGAATCAACAAGAAGGTAACGCAGGCATTGTAGACAAACTGAGGCTCCTATCCTTCACACACAAAAACAAACACACTCACCCTTCGCACAGACATGATTTTCCCGTTGATCTGAGCCACCTGAACCTTGATAATCTTGTTGTACTTCTTCAGGTCGAACCGCAGCAGATGATCATGCACCAGCCTCAGCACCATGTGGCCGGCGAAACGGGTGGCTACTTCAGCGAGCTCAGGAACCTTGCCGGCCGCGGCAGTGTTCAGATTGTCCTGGGTGTCCAGCGCTGTGCCAAAGAACGAGTAGTGCTGAGAGCGAACAGAGACAAACAATTAGATAACATAAGTCACAAGATGGCTAAAGGTTTGTTGATTTAACATGTGCAGCGGGTGACTTACATCTCTATCTGAGTTGAACCTGAATGAAAGCGAGGGAATGCCAGAAAAGGCGACAAATGGATACGCAGCATCGTTCATCTGAAGAGGCTGCAGCCTGGAGAATAAAAACATGAAGAATTCTGCTTTAGCTGTGATTTCTTTTAATGCTGGTAAATATTTAGGAGAAGAAGAGTGGAAGTAGAAACTCATGAACATTTTTCAAATTAGCTTAATAAAAAAAAAATGGAGAAATTATGAATTAACTCAACCTTTACTTTTTTTTTTTTTTTTTAAATAGCAGATTTGCTTCCCCTAGCCACCACTTGTTTGAGCTGTGACACATAACACATTACATAAGCAGACACGTGTGTATGTTTGCACTGGCACCATGAGTTGTGTGAGAGAAAAACAAGAAATAGGGAACTGGACTTTAGAGACTGTAGCTTCAGTTTTTGGCCCAAACACAGCCCTGTTCACAAGAGTCTGTATGGATGAAGTTAAGAACGTTACCTAACCAATTGCTGTCACATGCAAACACAGGCAGATATGACAAATTCAGACCAAATGATGGGGAAAGGGAGAAAGCTCAGATTCTGAGTCATCACAGTAGAGGGAGAAAGAAGCTGAAGCTACACTAAACATGCTACAAACTCGTAGTATTCAAACACGTGACTAATCTGGTACAAAAATCTCCCACCATGTGGCGGATAGCGCCTCTCAGATTAACTCAAACGAGTAATCAGCCATCATTTGATGATTGGCAGGCGTTACTCTCAGACTCTGGCTAATAGTGAGACGGTGGTTCTAATGGTGATGTATAAACACTGATGGACACTGAGGGTGTGACTGGACGAACAGCGTGCTCAGACTTACACATTTGCTTCCAGGTTGCTCCTTGCAAATTGAGCATAAAGAGACCTCGAGTCTCGGAAGTTCACCTGAGGACAAGACAGATGTATGAGTACATTTTATCTTCACTTTCACAAACGGATTAAAGACTTGAACAAATGAAAAATAACGGGGGCTTCTCCTAAATGTGCTTCAATGACTGTTGAACTTCAACGACTTTTTCGGCAGGATAAGTTATAAAAACGTTAAAATCTAGGGCATCAAAGCACAATTTATTTAACTATCTTGATGAAAAAACGGGTCACGGAAATCCCTCCAGCTTTTGTCTTACCTCCCTCATAGTGCTCTCAATCAGACTGTGCATCAAAGGGCTTGCTGCTACTTTAAATCTATCTTGGCCTGCAAAGGAAGACACATTCAGCCGTTGTGAACCATGTTTTGAATATTTAACAGCTTAATCTGAAGTTAGAAGGTGTCTGAAGTCAGTACCTGTTACAACAGCATCCAGGTTGATGTAGGCAAAGGCTTTCAAGCTCAGAGAAGAGAGATAACCCTGCATAAACAAAACACTGTTAGAACAATTCTAACACAGAAAAGTGGCGTCACCGCATGGACAAGGGGGAAAAAACTCATTTGGGAAAACTAGAAGTAGCAGTTCTTACCTCCAACCACTCGGTGGCACCAACGTTCCCATATTCCCCAGCCGTCCAGCTCACGAACACAATACTTCTCCTTGGTTTGAATCCATCTGTGACGAGAAACCAAATTAACATTAACTGAGCTGCTCCATAATGTTAAGGAGGATCTGACATGAAGGGTAAATAACAATCTAGCACTAGAACACTTAAAGAGAGCTGCTGAAGCTTACCGTTCTTCACCATGTCTGAAATGGAACGTGCCAGCTCAACAAGGACACTGGTGCCAACGGTGGACGCAGCAAAACCTGGACCCCATGCGTCTCTCTGGGCACCAATAACCACATATCGGTCTACAATGTTAAAGAGAACGAGATGGTTAGTAGACAATCATCACTTATTTGTCGTCTATATGAAATAAACTTCTGATTGTACCTGGATCCACAAAGCCTTTTATGACCCCAAAGACATTGCTTATCTTCTTCTCTGTAAGAACGTTGCCGACATCCACCTTAATTATATCTCCTTCCCCTCCCAGTTTGCGAACAACCCCATCCATTGGGCACGTTATCACCCCCAGCTCTCTGTGGAATGTACACGATATACATTAATGATGCAAGCAAAGGAATATCTGGTATAGATAAAGCCCTGAACGCATTACTATAATTTCAGGTATAATGTTTCAGGTGGTCCAAAGCATGTTTGAGCCTTACTTCAAAATGCCATCAGCCATGCTGGTTGGGATGGTTTGAGCCAAGATTTTTGGAAGGCCTGAAGACTGGACAGGTGGAAACTGGGTGTGGTTGAAGGAGGGAAGCCTGGGGTGTAGGGATCACCTGAACCCATGTGGACCTGTGAGACATTCAGGGAAGACGGATGGATGGAAAGACAAAAGTTTAAACAAGTTTGTCCAGCAATCATTGCGCTTATGAAATCCTCGAGTTTTACTATCAAGCTTCTGAATTAAATTAGAAGAAAATACATGAAAATAGACTACTGACATTTTGCTTAAAACATTACAGGCTCAGCTTAGCTGCTTAGAAGATTTATTTACTTTAAAGCTGACAGAAATACAGATACATTTACATTCATCAGAGCATGTGTTGCTGTATTGCTTCCTCTTTCAATTAACTTTACAATGTGTGCCAAATATTTGCTACTTATTAGTGCAATACTACTACTTATAGAAAAACTAGTCACTGTTGAATGCGGAACAGTTCATCAATATTAGAAATTATGAGATACATTTAATGTACAGTAGAAATGCTGACGTGATTGAAGTGTGAAGGAAACTGATTGTTTTGTGTATGTGTGTCACACCTAATCGGCTCATCTCAATCAGTGTTGACCGTGTTTTCCAACTTAAACTGGTGATGGTAACAGCTGTTTCTAATACATTTTTGTCAGTGTGCAAGCTTGTTACTGCTATCAGCAAACAAATCGCATTAGAGCACCATAAGACTGATGAAGCATGATGTCGGGGCAGCACATACTTAAGCGCTCACATTGGGTGCCTCCAGAAATGTTTTGTCAACATTTTATTTTAAGTCTACTGAGCAGTTGATAAGTTTGTGTTAGGCATCTTCTAGGAATTTAAATTATCTTTCTTTGATAACCTTCTTAGAAAAGAAACATATGAATGCTCTTCCATTGAAAAAGATTGGAAGAAAAACGCGAGGTGGACAGGGGCATTATATAAGCAGTTTCATCTCCAGCATTATAACTGTTCACACTCACATGTCAAACAGAGGGGTGTTCCTT